TTTGATCATGCGATTTAAAAAATGCCTATGATCAGTTAAATAAAAATTGTGAAAAAATGTAAAATTATTATTTTTTCTTTTGTTCTTACATTCTCCCTCAAACATTCAACCTGCATAACTTTATTGCCCTTTATGAGGTCATAATGATCTGAGAACTTGAATATTTCCCAGATGAAAAGACAGCATCAGCAGTTATACATTTTTTAAATTTTTGTTTGTTTGTTGTGTCTGTATAATTTGATAACTTGCAACTTGAATCTTTCAGACCATTGTGGGAAGTTGCAGAACACAGCTCAGATCATTCTTGTAGCCACCCACTCAGACAAATCTATCAGCCCTTGTCACAAAAACTCTCAGGGCAATTTGGTGAACGATGAGGCCAAGTACATCCTGGACAAGGTCACCACCATGTTTCAGTATGACCTTGACATCTGCCAACAGATCTTCATCTTGGACGCAACATCTCCATCTTCTAATGACATGAGGTCCTTTAAGCAGCAGCTGATCAAGACCAAGGAAGAAATTTCACAGGTAACTTTACAGACCTACTTAACTTTGTAGACATTCCTAACATGTTAAGTAAAAGTAAAGTTCCCCTTTCAGACCCTGCGATCTATAGGGCATATGATGTAAACGTCATCTATTTCTACGGCCCACATTTAACAAGGGATCATGTGGCCAGCACAACGACCAACGACCTTTACTTTTCCCAACTAATGTCAGGTACCCATTAGAGCTGGTTGAACTCAGAGGCGCCCAGAGATCCCGAAATTAAAATCCCAGTCTTCACCAGGTTTCGAACCTGGATCCCGGTTTGGAAGCTATGCGCTTAACCGCTCAGCCACCACACCTCCTCTAACATTTACTATTATTACATTCCCTTACTTTAGCTCTTTGACTTCAAGAAGTGCAGTGACCAAGGCTTCTACCTATGGTCTCTACTCTTTACTGTACAGACATCACTTACTTGAACATCTCCATCACTCCATTTCCTCAACTTGACCAGTATTTCTTATAAAGAACCTCCTTAAAATAGCCAAGAGAATTATCTGGGCAGGCTGATCTGTTCCATCAACATAACCATTGTGGATAGGATAAAGAGACATCTTTGAAGAGATACAACTCTTTAAAAAATTGTAAGTTATTATAAGGAGAGAAGAAACAAAGATAGGGTATAGTGGTGTAAAAGTTAAGAGCAGAGCCCTATGAATATGTTTTGGAATTGTAATACTTAAGAGACAATTTTTTTTCCTGGAAAAAGTGTGTCAGATGTATAAATATTAATATTTCATTATAATGACAGATTAACAAACAATATTAGCAAAACAATATGGCACTGTCATTTGGGTGCTAAATATTGTAGAAATAATGTCTTGCTAAAGATTGGAACTTGTTTATATTTGACATGTGTGTGTTTCTGCTCTAATTATGTCTATTTTTTTATGTGTAGGATGTAAAAAAAAATGTAAATTTCTAAATTCTTAAATACAAATAATATTAACAGATTTTAAAGAAAATCATTTTAAGTAATAAAAGAACTCTTGAAGTCCTCAGAAAAACTGTTATGTTTCTTTGTTGGTAAGTTTCTAAAATGAACTTTCTCCTCTTATGAGTAGAAGTATTATTGTATTTTTTTCTTCATTTTGAATGCGGCAAACTTTCTTATAAACTTCATATAAAAGATGAGGAGACATAGGTTAGTTCAGGTCACTGTTTTGGATCTAACCAAAGCTGTAATGAAATACCACATACAAAGTGGATTACTTTAGTGTTTCCCACAGAACCTGAAATTTTTTTTTTGGGAAGGGGGAGCTTGTCCTCTCAAGAAGTTCTCACTTAGAAATCATGCTATTTTTTTTTTCAGTAAATACTTAAAACTTTGTTTTATTTTTTTAAGGGAAACTTTTAAAAAAATAATTCAACCTGTATTTTTTTTGTTTAAAAAGTTCAAATATTAAATGTTGTATGTACCAGTGTCAATACTGGCAGCAACAAAAACACATTACACTGGTACTCAGCTCTGGTGTACATGAATTATAGTTGTTCTAACCAAGCTTGTGTAAAAGATTTTCATAGTTTCTAACTGTCCAGGAAGATTGTGGGATACTATTTAATTTAATATTTTGAAAACAATGACATATGTTTTGTGTCCTCAGAAACTGCCATGTTCTAATGGACTTCTGTCAGCAGTGGTTGCCCAATTACCAGAATGGAGAAAAGCCTTCCATTCCTACCCTGTCCTCAGTTGGTTGCAGTTTACAGAACACATCAGAGGGTCAGTGAATCCCCTGGCTAGTGAGGAGGATATGAAGTTACTGGACAGGCAGCTACAGCTGATGGGAGAGGTTGGTGCAATCCAAATCCTTGTTTCTCATGTCTCTGTCAACATTATGTTTTTCTGAATTTCTTAAACATAGAACGTGTACTCGGTTTGATCTAGAAATGAAATAAATTACATTTTTTATATTTATTTTTTTTTAATTTGAAAAAACTTAACTTTGCATCATAAAAACACAGGCTTTTGTATGCATACTTTTCAGAATTTGATGCTTAAGTTATCAACTTTATAACATGATTAGATGTTCAGTCCTTTTACTTTGTGATTTAGAAAAAAAAACAAAAAAATTGGACCATGGTTAAAAAGTTTTCAACATGTAATTAGTTTTGTTTATGTTGTGTGCAAGTAAAAATACATTAACATTATTCTTTCCATTGGTTACAGATTGTTTACCTGCATAGCCAGACTGACCTAGTGGTTCTCAATCCACAATGGCTTGGCTCTGAGGTCCTGGGCAATCTTTTATCTCATGAGAGGATTTCACTGGCCCGGGTCACAGGATGTTTCACACTGGATGAGTTCCAGTTAATGTATCCTAACACAGATGCCCTTAGCTTGATCCAGGTCAGAAAATGACATTTAAAGATTAAAAAGAATTAAAGTCTTGAGCCTTGGCTTGAAGATCTATATTATGTACCTTTCATCATATTAGTATTCTGTTAGCATTTCTGTTGGTAGCATATTGTAAGATTGATATTTTGAGCAGGTGCTTGAAGCCTTGGAGCTATGCTCAGCATGTGAAGTAGATGAAGAAGTGGAGTACGAGTTCCCATGTCTGAACTTTGTGGAGGCCTTGGATGGTCTGTGGGTGAAAGACGATGAAAGATTCCCCAACCAAGTCTATGGAGGTGTCCGTCTGCATACCAGTTTCCAGTCAGGTGCTCAGTTGAAATATTTATTTCCCAGGATTCAGGTAATGCTTTTTAACTGATGTTAGGCATAATTTGAGAAAGTTGCTTTTTTGTTAAGAGAAGATACATTAATAAAATAAAAATTGATTCTAAGCTTTTTATTTTTTAACTGGGAAATATTTTAAGGACTTAGGTTATTGAAAAAAAAAAAAAAAATGTTAAAGGCAAATGTCTTGATTTTCATGTAAATCTCATCTTTTTCTCTTTTTAATTCCTGATCGTATGTCAGGCACCCCTTTAGAGTTGGGTGGACTCACGATGTCCTAAAATTCAAAATCCAAAGTTTTAACAGGGATTTGAACTTCTCAGCTCAGAAGCAAAGCTCTTTACCACTTGGCCACCATTGTCTTGTAGCTTTAACTTTCAAGCAGGGTGGTCACTGTGATGGTGACAATAATCACAAAGATTTATAATATCAGAACCCAGACCCTGCACAATAATTTTAGGTATAAAAACTTAGCTTAGGATACTGAAGATGTAAATTTTTTATCTAAAAAGACTGTCAATGAATTTCAGAAAAATTGTAAAACTTTTTATTTATCTTTCAGGTTTGTTTACGTCGCAGTATTTTGTCTGGTGAAGAAGAAGATGAGGCAGAGAACAGTGATGATGAAGCCAAAGGCAAGGAATTGAAAGATGCAGACTTGTACCAATGGCACCATGGTTCTAAGTACTGCTGTGCAAGGCTTGAGGGTATTATTGATATGGATAAGAATGAACAGTATCTGGAGATTAAAGTTAGGGGGCCAGAAGTTGAGAGGGCCAATCTGTACTACTTCCTGGAAGATTTTGTGAACATTATCGAGCAGGTGGTGGAGAATGTCTGTCCAGGTCTGTGTGTGGAGAGATACACCCTCAGTCCGATGCAGCTGAAGCAGCATGGGAAGGTTGTACGATCTTACTCCCCCACAGAACTTCTGCGCATGCAGATGGATAACAGATCTTCTGTGGTCCTCAGCGGCAACATCAAAGAAGACTTTATTGACATTGCCTGCCTGGGCTCTGAAGAGATTCTAGAAACTGTAACTCTTGGAATGGACTTGCCCATCTCTCACCTGACCATCCACACCCAGAGGCTGTTAAGTTTGCTGCTTGACCCTCCCGAAGCCATGGGCAAAGACTGGTGCTTATTGGCTGTGACCTTGGGACTCAGTGACGTCATTCCTTCTTTAGAGCCTTCTGAAAGTGAAGCAACTTGTGTTAGTCAGACACAAAAGGTAAGCTTGAATAGTTAGTCTAAACATTTTACATTGCCTCCAGGAATTTCAGGGAGCAAAAAATGTATTGAGGCAAATTTTTTTTTCATTTCTCTTACTTTATACTAATATTAGTTATTGATGAGCTTAATTATAGTTTTAAATAACAAAGACTTATGTTTACTTTTGCATTTTCAAAGTTCTAAAATGTAATCCTTCAAGAAATGACTTTATTTTCTTCTTGACAGGTACTTCAAGAATGGACTAGAAGAAAACCTGATGCATCCATTCGACATTTGGTTAGTAAATTGAAAGAGATTGGTCGAGTTGATGCTGTGGAAGCTATCTTGAGAACTGGACCGCCTTTTAAAGTTCTCTCATTTGAGGACCAAATGACTGAAGAGAGTGGGGGAACACAAGGCACAAATGCTTCAACCAACACATTATCAAACCTTTCTAGGTGACACCTGAGGAGATAAGGGGACAGTATTTACATTTGACAGAAGGGATCACCTCCCTTGACCTGAGAATGACAACAATAAAAAAAAAAAAAAAGCAACATGTGTGACCAGATTAAAATTTCATCCCCTCATTCATTAGGATGATATGTTAGGTCACCATATACTGACCGTTGCTCAGCCATCCCTCCTCTAACTTTATCAAACTTCGGCCAAATGTTGACTTATGACAACTGCAAATTTAATATATTTTCATAGAAGAGACTAGCAGAGTTTGTAAGTTTACCTTGATGTTGTCTTCTGGCCTGCATGCTAATGCTAATGTGTCTTCTGACGTGTGAGTCCTTTACTTCAAGAGGAATGTGTGCAGAATATTCTTTCAACTGTTTTCGTATTTCAAAAGCATAACTAACAATTTCTGTTCAAGAACTGAATATCCTCATTGTTCGTAAAATCAAAGCATAATGAACTTCATTGTTAATAAATGACATTAAAGAAACAAAACATCTTCAGTCCTGTGTGAATGCAATACTGCGACTGGACATATTTATATAAAGACCTTATATGAACATTTGTCAGGAACAATCTTCAGATATGTGATCATGGTTGTCAGGAGGTTGGTCTAAAATAGAGCTTTCACTTTACATCAAGTTCATTTAGGTATTTACATCCTATGTGTCAACATAACATCTTGGTGTCAAAACAGGGTTGGACATTCATTTTCCATATCACTGTGCCTAGTAGCCGCTGTCTGAAAGGCTGAGGATAGATCTGTGCCCTGACAGTGCTGCATATACTCAGAACTACATTCCAGCATCATCCAGCAGTGTGCAGAAAAGTGGTAGGGCTGGACACCAGGCCTTGAACCTCCACTCTACGCAACTAACCAGTAGTTCTCATTAATATCAACTGTCCAGGTAGTCTCATTTGAATCCATGCAAGGCCATATTCTAGTAACATTTCATCTGACCATTCATATGTAATGGAGTGACCAAAAAAAATTCCACCAAATATTTTTAAAGCCAAATATTTGAAATCTTTTTATCAAAGGCTATATTCCATGTATATACATTACTTTTGATAAGGTCATCTTGTTTACTTAACATCATTTTGTTAGAGGCCAACGCATTCTTGTACTTTAGTGCAGTTTGATCTTTAGCCTACTGTGAAACATTGTTATATGAAGGTTTGAACATGTTCAACTTCATTCAGAGTATGATGAATTTCATATATGTCAGTGATCTGGAAGTAACCAATCCAAATGGTGAAAACATGTCTAAATAAGTTAGGTCTATCTGAATGATGCACAGAATGGTCCTAAATAAAATGTTCATGTTTTTTTTTTTATTGAAATAAAAAATAATATCTTGAATAATATTAAGATATCGCCCAATGAGAACAACTTATTCAAGAATTTGGTAGAAAAACTAGAATATTAATTATTTTTGAGTTATTATTAGTACTTCAGAGTAGTTCACTGTTTAAAACAATTTCTTAGGCCAGTGCAGAACAACAGTGTCCTGTAGAAAATGCATTTTGTTTATCGAAAAGATCTTTGAATTTGGTTGAATTTTTTCTCTTGTTGATTGACCCTTTGGTCCAACTCGTATTGTCAAAAATCAAAATTTCTAGAAGTCTATGAAAGTTTCAACATTTTCATTGTCTGTTTTTTAAACCCAGTGTACACATGAAACATTTTTTTTTCCTATCCAGGAATTTTGTTAAATGCTGTGATAAACCCTGAGCCTAAAAGATGTATCAATATTTTATGTATTTGTTTAAATCCAAAAAGCTGGTTTATATTATGTAGAAGTACTTCCTAGTTTGGTCAGTGTGTGTACCTGCTGAGCCCAGTCTCTGACTAATTTATTGTTTTTTTTACATGCACAAATGTTTAGTGAGTTTCATTTATTGCAGGCATGTTTAAGAATTAAATATTAGATCCTTGCTTTATATAATATTTTCTGAAAATTTTTTTTTTTTTTACCAAACCAGAACTCATGGTAAAAATTTAAAGGGAAAAAAAAACTGAAAGAAAATTGAATTCACATTGAAAAGTTAGCTCTTGACCAACAAGAAAGCTTTAGGATAATCTACATTCTAGATTCTAGACAAGAAAGATTAGGATAATCTCAAAATCTAGATTTTAGATTCTAGACAAAAATTGTATGATCAATAATTTAAAAGGCTTTCAAAGAAGTCAGTAACTCAATGTCTTATAAACTATGTGGGTGCCCAGACTGGCAAAAGTTCAAGTTGAATGTTTTCATACAGTATCATCTCTATATCTGACTGTTGGCCAAAAAGTCAAAACTATAACTTATAGTCTGTGGGATTATTCTGTTTTTTTTTTTTTTTTTGTATGATGATTTTTAATGAACAGTGTATGTGTTAAGATCTCACTTACTGGACAAAGGTTTTGGCATTGGCTGGCTTGATCTGGGGATGACTGTAAGCCCACCTGACTCTATTCACTGATTTGGTTAGGCTTCTGTCAAAACACTGTTAAGTCCAATAAGCCATTTTCTATATATCTCCTTTTCCTTCAAAAACGTATATTAAGGGAGAAGTCAATGTGGACCTCATTCACCAAAATGAACTATCACGTGATGAACATTGATAAAACACAGATTAAAACGTTCACGTGATAACCTTTGTTGATTTGAATCAGTTCATAATTTGTATAGAAGAGATAAGTGAAGCATGTGGCTCATGTTTGTTTATGATTGGGGAATAGTGGGGTAGCCATTAGAAGTGAAAAAAACTGAGAACCTTTGCTGCACTTTCAATGTGCCTGTAACAATTTGCTGCTGCTGTTGTAAAAATTTGCAATATTTCTGCTAAGATTGTTTTTGGGACATCCTTATGCTGGGGTTCTATTTCTTGTTACATCATCCAAAAAAAAAGAAAAACCCAGCAACTCAGTTCAATGCTTGCTTTTGTGTACATTTTTTAAAATTATTTAATTTTTAAGTTTTGTGAGAGGACATTGTTTGGTGTGAGAGGACATTGTTGTGAGGTTGAAGACTTGTCAGTCAGTTGATATCAAAGAAAGCTGTGGGGGCTGGGCTGGAAGAGAACTGAGATTGTTTTTACCTCTAGTTTTGTATTATTTTGTGTATATACATTTACAAATATGTATTTTTTTAAATTCCCATTGGGACTAGTTCATCTTGACGCATTATTATCAGGCCTGACAACAAGTAATCTGTCAATCATTGCTTGATGTCACATAAGTGCCATCTCACTGTCTAACATCTGGCCTTGTCATTTCATTCTTGACATTAGTTAAACATACCATAATTCTTCATTGCCACATGCAAGAAAGAAATGCACAAATTTTTCAAAGTTCAAGATTTTTTAAAACTATACAAATGGCCTTGTAGTATATATTTGTTTTTATGGAGACTGGTCTTTACATCATGAAGAAAAAATTATTTTTTAGTCATATTTTAGGAAGCTATTTTAACTCTATATTTATTGATAACAATAGAGTGAGTTAAGATAAAATGTGCCTTGTTTTATCTTCTGTTTCCTCAAACATTTGTATTCCATTGACATTACTTTCATTATTACTTTTATCAATCAGATTGTTTCAATGACACTTATGACCATCAAACTTCATAGTCCCAGAGCGTGTTGCTCTTAATAGTATGGTAACAAAACATCATGAAGGTTTGTAATATCATTTGAAATTGTCATGTAGAGTTGTGCATCGCACTTGGAACCCTAAGACCAGCAAATGCAAACAAGAGCTCTCTCTCACCAGCCTGGATGAATGGTGTACACCTCCTGGCATAATATCAACCATTTCTATGGTTCCAAGCTATTTTTGTTTATGTCTTAAATGAACTCAGATATCTATCACCTAGAAATAAATGAGATTTAAGTTCATTGTGATGTCCAGAATGGAAGTGAACCTATATAAATCTGGCTTTTCTGGTGTATCTTGTGTACAGATGGATCAATATGCTGATAATCTATGTATTTTTTTTATAATGCTTTAAACTTGTGGTAAAAAAAAAAAGCGGTAGCTAATTTCTTGGGCTTGTAGCTTAAAGTTTTAGTAGAACATTGTTAACATTGTTGAACATGTCAGTTGATTTCAGAACAAATCAGGATCTATTATCTATTTGGAATAGCCCCCTTCCCACGCCCCTCCCAATCAAAAGTTTGGGCTGAAAGAGACTTTGCAGGTTTTTATGTAGAACATGACTCACAAAAGAACATGACTCACTGATGATGACCTCTTCAAGCCGCCATCAAGTGAAAGCTTGCTTCCTTTTGACATGTGCAGTCTGAGACCTTCAAATACTATGTTTACCAAGGAACGTCCTTTATAATCTTTTAGATTGAGATTTTCATGCTAAACTAAACATTGTCAGCGATTCTAAATTGAATTTCACTGTTTCCTAATAAACGAAAAAAAAAAAAGAGCTTTTATTTGACAAATATCCTGAAGCGTGGCTGTTGATCCAATCTTCTCTACTAACTGCTTTCTAGTTGCCCACTTGTGTTGAACAAAGTTCTATGTCCTAGAGTCAAAGTCTTAATGTTTCCTTCATATTGAAATTAGTTTGGGCTACAAATGGAAGACCTCAGAACATTTGGATCTTCAATAAATTATCTTGTAGCTTGAGAAAAAAACATCAACAACATAGATTATCAAAAGTTTATTTTGTACAACGGATACACCAAAAAGCAAGCTATTTATATTTTTTCCATCATGTATGAAAATCTCCACTGGTTTGTGGTCTTGCAAGTAACACAACAATTTGTCTTTAGCAATCTAATAGTGCTGAAGTTTAAATAATAAAATGACATCTCCCCTTTCCATCATAATTATCATAACAAGCAAGATACAATTATTTTTCTAAAAAGAATTAATAGAAATGCAGAAATGGGAATCAGATTGGAAGTCTGACTTTCCATCTAGCAAAATGTCAGTTATTAAGACAAACAAAAAGACTTTAAGACAAGTAAAAACTATTTATCTTATTCATGGTAACAGACTAAAAACTGGTATAGTATCTAGGTGTACCGGTAATAATAAATGAAAAAGTATCATAGAACCGCCACATTAATAATAATATTGAAAAATCAAAGCATTACGGTTTATTGAAAGACATTTTTACAAATCAAACATCAAGATCATAAAATTAAAATGTCATTTAACCTAAGGCCAATAATAGAATATGCATTCACTTTTTATACCCTTCAACTCTAGAAAACAAAGAAATTAGAACAAACGCATAATAGAGCAGTGAGATTTATATATATATATATATATATATTTGCATTAGATTAGAGTATTAGTAAAATCACTAAACTTAGGGACACTTCAGGACAGAAGAATAAAAACTAAAATACATTTAAAAAAAACACTAAACCATAATTAACCAATAGAAAAATAAAATATTTCGAATGACAAAGAAAAAAGACATTTCTTATTCCATACGCAAGGACAAAATCCTATACAAGTGCTCCTTCTTCCCTATAGTGCATTAAAGAGTTTAAGTCACTGATTAACATGCTTAACTATTTTGACACATGAAATGCGTAGGACAACTATCTACTTTTATGAATGAACGTCTGTATCTATAAGGTTCAATAATTATGCCTTTATAATAAGCAGCTTGGCACAGCGTACACCGTGTTGATTCCTCACACACACACAAAAGCTTTATATATATATGTGTATGTTCTGTGTATGCATGTCAACAAGGAATGAAGATAACAAACCAACAAATAGACGGAATGGCTTTATTAAAAGAAAGTCACGTATAAGATTCACCAACTATATACACAACAATGCTATTTGGTCACACTGGACCCTTACGAGGTATGCTAAGGAAGATTCAAATGTTTTGTGTTGTTTTTTCATCTTGACGTTCTGTCTCCTACGACGTCTTTTTTTTTCTAACCTACGACTGTCCCACAGTCATGCTGCAGTCTAGTGGACACATAGGTGCTTATAGTCATGGTCGGGTGGTCTGCACATCGACCCACAATGTTGGGAATAATGCCGGACTGTCTCTGCCAGGTAAGTATCCAGCTCAGATCACAGTCGCATGGGATCGGATTACCGTCCACAAACACAGTCCGGAGTCCGTCGGCTTGAGACAGGGAAGATGGGAGTCTGGTCAGAGAGCACCTGGAATAATCGAAGAGGCTATGCATCAACATGGACTATTTACCCATTACGCGATTAATACAGATCCTGGTCTAAATAGGTGCATGCCCGGTACTGGATTATTCGTTTAATTTGTTCCTTGTAAGCGTTCAATTTTGAATGTGTTGCTGACAGGCAATAATCATCTGGCTACGGCTTTGTCTACCTAACAAGGAAGCTGGTGTTCGAGCAGAGTTGTCTTTGCTGAGTGCTTAAAGGTAACGGAAACCTTTTCCCAGATACCCTCCTCCCCCCACTGGGCCACAAAACAGCCTGGACCATAGCGCACTGAGCTTGCTGCTAGCGAGAAATATGCGCTATATAAAAGCAACTTGATAGAAAAAAAAATGGTTCCTGTGATATGTTTGCTAACCAATATGATAAATTATCATAATTAGAATTTAACTTGAAAATAAATATATTTTTGTATAACACTAAACATTGACAAGATTGTCCAGTAAAGGAAAGTAATGTTTGCTCAATATCATTAAGATATCATCTTCTTTTTTGAAGTAACGTCTGTATTATATAAGATAAGCATAACTATGTCGTTTCGGAAACACGTCTTGTTGACAATCTCACAAAAACACTAAGAGGTGAACATAGTCTTATTGAATGAAGAGAAGTGCTAAGTAGAACTCCTTCTCTTTGTGGTCTGCGTTGAAATAGTCGACTTTGACTAGAATGACTGACTAGATCACAAACACAGGGGGCACTTACCTAGATAATCTCAATGTTCTCACACTGTGAGCGTCTGTAAATGCATAGTCAAATATATACACCAGGCTGTTGTTGGACAGGTCAACGGCAGACAACTTAGGGGCACCGGGAAAGGCGACGTCTGGGATTCTTGTGATTTGATTACTGGATAAGTCTAACTGTAAGATACACGAGTACACCATAAGTATAGCTGTTTAAGCTATATCAGTAAGTCTAGCTGTGTAAGATACACCAGTTGGTCATTACACATTACAGCTTATCGAGAGCGATGTATTTTAATTTATTTTCAAACATCAACTAAACCTAATTTCAGCAGATTCTTATTATGCTATTTCGGTAATCATACTTTGTGTTTGTTGCACTAGTCCGTTACGTTTCTTTGATTAAAAAGTATTGGGCCGGAAGTCGCTTTTTTCCCTATATATCTTTGTATTGTTCAGTTCTCTTTTTAAATTAAACTGACATTATTATGCTATAATTTTAAAGTGTACTTGATAGAGAAAAAAATTCTGCACAAAAATACGGGTAGTTGGGATGTAACCCGATAAACTAGCGCGTGAAACTACACATTTACAGTACTTTATTGATGAGTATTTTACCCAAGATCTGTGTTGTTTTTTTTAGGACTAGCTTATTTCATGTACCCGGCATTTTCCGATACACAATTTCATACACAAAATAATTGTTTAAAAAAATTGTAGTGATTTTAAACTTTAAATGATTACTTAAAAAGGTGTCACTCTAATCAATTTTGAATATTATTTTGTTATGAATGTCACTGTTTATTTTGTGTCTGTTCTAGTTTCTTAAATTTTTCTTGAGTAAAGGGGTCGTTTTTCTCCTAATTTATATACCTGATTTCTCTAAGCAGCCTTTGTAAAATATTGGTCCTAAATAATGCTATGTTTATAAACAAAAAATCGCATGGCTGCATTTTGATGAATGTACGTGTTAGTTCAATATATTTTAGATTACTAGGTGACTATAAATAACCGCATAAATAGACGTAAGTTTGTTTTTTTTTCTGTTAGATAAAGTCATATGGCAAATTTTTGTTTATATCCTAATTCTAAAAAGGAATAATAATAGAATTATACAGTAAAAATAATAACTAAGTTTTTCTTTTAATAGTTTTGAAAGTCTAACTCAGTTTGTGTTTTTGCAGATGTACACAAGCTACACTATGAGTCAGTCCATCTCTTCTAATTGTTTATAAATGAGTGTAAAAATGTAGGCCTCGATATTTTTAGCCTGAATTTAAGAAGTTACAAACTTCAAACAACTAATATATTGCCTCTTCCATAAAACTTTGTACTTAAAAAATAAATTTATTCAATGCTCGAAATCCTGCTTGTATACTTAGGCTCTATTTAAATCGATCCGGTATCAATGTATTAAGTAGCAATAACCCCGCAAAAAATTAAATGAAAGAAGATTGAGATATACATATATTTTTGTGACGGTACGCACCGGTACGGGGTATCGGCACCTTTTTTCAACGTCGGGAAAATGATTACTTTTCTTGTAATTCAACATTAATTGTTAATTTATTATTCGTTGAAAGTTAGGCAATCTATCACTGAGTACCGGAGCCTCTTTTTTATTTTTACAAAAAAAAGCACTTTATATACTTTCAGCGGACATGCCTTATTATTAAAAACACCTCTATGTGAACTTCTCAATCATTTAGAGTCTTAGACAGTCATTATTTTAGACTAGGTTTAAGTAGAGTCTAGACCTAGATTTAGTAGGCCTATTATTATAAAAAAAAATAAAAAATCAGTCATTATAGACATCATTCGCAATTTTATTATTAGGTCTAGGCATTGAAAAGTAAATCTTAATAAACTATAATAGATCTAAGTCTAAGTACTAACTTATTAAATAAGTCATTATAAGTAGAAGTATTATAATGAATATTGTATAGATCTAGATATACTAGATAGATCTATAGATAGACTTTTTTGAAGTAACGTCTGTATTATATAAGAAGATAAGATAGATCTCTAGTTTAGTAGATTAAGTATAGATTATAGTAAACGTATTACAGTATTATTAGATCTATGTCTTATGTCTGCATCTAATAATCTAATAAATAAAAAAACTTTAGTCTTTATTAATATCTCTAATAAAAACTGACTATAGGCATAAGCATAGGCTAGACTCGGCAATCTAGTCTCAAGATAGAATCTATACTATTACTAGATCTATTCGATTTTTATATATAGATCTAGACTAGAATTAGATTATAATTATAGATCTAAATATACTAATGGAGAGATAATATGAGGTGTTAGCTAACAGCGTTGCACAAGAAACAAACCTGGGTTTTTCTAAACTCTAATACTTGGTATGTAATAGTAAAACAGCACCTACCTAAATAAATCGTAACTAGCAATCAAAAACATATATTTATTGTAGTATATATAGGTCTGTGGTTGTATTTTATATAGCCTTCGTAACTTCTATAGAGAAATGACTTTTGTAATTTCTTTTACTGAAAATTCTTCTTATCTTATCTTATATAATACAGACGTTACTTCAAAAAAGAAGATGATTACGTCCTACGCGTCATGCATTTAGTCGTGCATATTAACCAATGACTTAAATTCTGCCCAGTCACTGGTTTTTCTGGCTAGCTCAGGCAACTCATTCCATGCTCTAATAGCACTAGGGAAGAAGGAGTATTTGTACAAATTTGTCCTAGCATAGGGGACGAGGAATGTGC